ACCTCTATTTTCTAAGATATTTACGTAAATATCTACAAAATTATTGGTTTCAATAATTTTTTACTTGAATTCTATCAACTTTACCGAAAAATATCAAGAGATAAAAATTATTTATTTTGTTCTCATAGAGCTCTGAGAATATAAATATTAACCCCTTCGCTGTCAAAATTACATTTTCGTGCTAAAAAATGTTTCGAAAAATGAAAATCTTTAAAATGGCATGACGAACACAAAATTAGAGTTTTTGGGAGCGCTGAATTTGAATTTGAAGTCAGATTTTGAAAATTTATAATAGCGGATACAATATGGCGCGTCAAAATTCGTGATTTTCTTGAAATTTTGTGAACGTAGTATATGTTTTGGTTTATATGTTCCCAGAGTTACTGGATTCAAATCTGAAGTTAAATTTGAACTCAGCATTATAAAAAAGCAATGTCACTTTTGTAAAATCCCAAAATTTGTTGTGCAATGTTGACCGCCATATTGGATCCGCCATTTTGAATTTCGAAAATCTGATTTCGAAAACTTCAGATTTGAATCCAGTAACCCTGCAAACATAGATTACCACTTTCACAAAATTCCAAGAAAATCTCAAATTTTTGTCCACCATATTGGATCCGCCATTTCAAATTTGCAAAATCTGACTTCAGATGCAAACTCAGCGCCTCCAAGAACTTTCGGAAACCCATGCACAGTCAAACCGAATGAAATTCAGCATATTTTTTTAGATGCGCACATGTGCATCATGGAGCAAAAGTGGCACGACTTTTTTTGCGCGTATATGCGTCACTAACAAGGAAGAGGTTAAAAATATAATGGTTATTCCGAAACGTCATATCTGAAATTTCTAAATTTTTTTTACATGTACTTAATATTAAGTTGTAAATCAATAAATTGTAGATGTGTATTATGTGAAGTTTCCGAAGAAAAAATGTCTGAATGTAGTGATTAATATTGATGCAATCTTGAGATCTAACGTCATCCGCGAAAATTGCAAAAACAATTAATTTTCTAGTGAATAGATACAGTCACAAATCATAAATCACTAATTTTATTTCGAAACATTAAATTCAAGTCCCGCGTCTGTAGCGCCGATACCCATCAGTCACGTTTCAGGGTTTCAATATAACATCGTGCTTAACGTACGTGGGAATTGTTTTCCGTTTTAAAAATTATTAACCGTGAATCGAATAAGCCTCGTTGGCGATTATAAAATATTAAAAAGAGATTTTTTGTAGTAATATTGTGTGTAATATAAAAGTATCGAAACTTTTGTTCTGTATTATATCAGATAGTGAACTTAATTTTCACGAATAGATGGCATCAGCAACAAATGTGACTCTGATAGCTGAAAAGAAGGCTTGACATTTCTCAATAAAATTCAGTATACAACGCACTTTATTCGGTAGAAAATGGAACGTGATAAAGAGTTTTTCCGACATGTACTTCTTCACTACTTTGATTTGAAGAAAAATTCAACTAAAATTGATCGATTACTCAGTGAAGTTTATGGTAATGCTGCTCTATCGAAAACAACTTTCAAAGAGTTTCAACGATTTAAAAGTGGTAATTTTAGCGTGAGAGACAAACAATCACACAGATCAGCCAAAAAAGTTTGAAGATGCCGAATTGCAAGTATTATTGAATGAAAATCCATCTCAAATCCAAAGAATTGGTAGAAGTATTAAATATCATCGACAGAAGTGTGTCAAACGTTTACACGCTATGGGAAAGATTCATAAAGAAGAAAAATGAGTGCCATACGAATTGATTAATGCTGTAATCTCTAATCGTTTTTTCATCGCTAGTTGTTTGCTTGCAAGATATAAAAAAAGTTTTTTGTTGGCAAATCGTGACCGGTGACGAAAAATGAATCTATTACCATAATCCGAAACACAAAAAATCATGGATGGACCCAGACCAACCATCAATTTCAACGCTCTAACGAAATATTTATAGTCAAAAGGTAATGCTGTGTATTTGGTGGAATCAGGAAGGCATAGTGTATTATGAGCTATTGGAGCCAAATGAAACAGTCACAACTGATTGTTACCAACAACAATTAGAACGTTTGAATAAGTAATTGATGCAAAAAAGGTCATTAATCGCCAGTAATCGACGAAAAAATCATTGTTTTGCACGACAATGCTCGACCATATGTTGCAAGAATCGTTCAACAAACACTGATAGAATTCGAAGAATAGGAAGTTTTCCCGCACCTAGTCTATTCTACAGACCTGACCCTATTAGATTATTACTTGTTCCGATCGATGTAACACGTTCTTGAAGATGCATCTTTAATTTCCAAGATCTTCTTTAATTTCGAAGATATGCAAAAATGGATCAATGATTGGATCGCTTCAAGACAAGTCCTATCGACGCGGAATTCACCTTTTGCCAGAAAAATAAGAAAAAGTCTTAGAAAATGATGAAAAATATTTTGATTGATGTATTCATTTATTTTGTCATTGAAATAAATAAAAAAAAATCAAAAATTAAGTTCCGTACCTAATAGTTCGTTATTGTAACCTATTAAAGCTTCTGAGTACTTACTGCGACTATTTTGATTAATGATGTCAAAAGCGAGAATATGCATGCTGAAAATATCTGCAAAATACGTAGAAATTGAAAGATATATCCAAAAAATGACACTTGAAATCGATTAAGTACCTCTAAATATCTCTAAAAATTTTCTTTTTACTTTAATAATCAATAAATAATTGTAAAATTAACTTAACAAGATTATAAGAAGAGGTAGATTAAAAAAGGTTACATGTCATATTAATTTTACGGTTAATTATTGACAGAATTAAAAGAAAATGTTCGGTAGTATTTTAGAATATTTTAGAGGTTATGTATTTAATCGATTACAAGTATCATATATATTTTTATATTTTATATTATATATTTTTATTATTATACATTTTTATTATTATATGTTTTTATTATTATATATTTTTATTATTATATATTTTTTCATTTTGACGTTATACTCACGTATACAAACGTGATAGCTGCAAATATGACTTTAAGAACTAACTCGCTTTAGATATGACTGGAATCTGAACTTGACAGGCAAAAGATTGTTTTTTGCTAGTAAAATTTAGAAGTTTTAGGATTGGCTATATCAATTTTAATTGGATTGGTTGCAATCAAAGACTTGCATCAACATTCTTTGACATAAAAGAATTTTTTTCTTTAAAATAAAAACAATTTTTCCATAAGAAAAATTGTTTTACTTTTTTATTATGTTTTAAGTTTTTGAGAGATTTTAATTGAAAGTTTGATTAACGTGAGATCTCTAAATAAGCTATTAGTAATATCACGATGTTTTCAACGTGAGCATAGTTGCATTCAACCTGATATTTTATTTATATGCTTATGTATTTATGTACTTGGCGCCGCATTATTACTGTGTGTACATGATTAGTAAAAAAAAATATATGTATATTGTTGAATTATATTTTTAAGTTTGTTTTACATCTTTTTAAGAAATACTCCAGACTAACGATCAGATGCCAAAATATCCAAGTTCCTGTAAAAAATTTAGAGATTGGGATAAGGTAGAGAAAGAGATAGAGAAACAAGAAGCACAGGAAGAACCAGAAGGAGAGGCAGCTGTAAATGCTCTCTTACAACAAATATATGGTAACGGATCTGATGAAGTAAGACGTGCAATGAATAAATCTTTTGTAAGTAAAATATTTATAATGTTATCAAATTAAATAATTAAATTGAGGGAAATTGACCTTGTGCATTACGATTAAATTCTATCATTGGTAGATTCAAGTAATAATACTTTCTATATACCAAATCTTTCTTGAAAAATGTCATAAAACTTTGTATAAGGATGTCTCATAAACAATGCATTTGAATATCTTTCAATATAGTTCATAAATTCATTTTTTAGACATTTTTTTAAATGTTAACAACATATTAATGACAACACAATTTACACACATGTGCAATTAGAAAAAGATTAACCGTATCGGAACTGAGATAATTAAAACACCTGTTCCTCGTCGCTGCCGTTGCCATTTAATGAAGTCAAAAGCGAAAAAACATACACTCAAAATTCTTACGAAATACGTCGAAATAAAAGGTTGGTATCTATAAAATAACACTTGTAATCAATTGCACATTTGTGAAATATTTCAAAAACTTCTTTTATTCTAACAATTTATTTTATTTTAACAATCAATAAATAGCTATAAAAATAATATAATAAAATTATCAGGAAAAGTAGCTTAAAAGGAAAACATATCATGTTAATTTTATAATTATTTATTTGTTGTTAGATTAAAAGGAAAGAATATTTTACAAACATGCTCAATTGATCCTAAGGATCATTTTATGGATATATCCTTTTGTTTCAGCATATTTTGTAAGAATTTGAACATGAATTTTCGCAATTCTGATGTCATCAAGAGTTTCGTGAGAAAACAAAAACTTTAAAATCAAAATTTACACTATTTACATACGTCATAGGTATCAAAACGGCCGATGTTTTTAATTCCAACTACTAAACTACTTTTATATTTTGAATTAAAAAAGGACGATAAAAGAGACGCAGAAATACTACAAATTAAGTATAAAATCTTTGAACGTGTAGCTTTTTCGAGAAATTAATATATCAAATATATAATTTCTGATATCAATTGAAGTATATGATAACTAATTTTTACAAATTTGACAATATTGTATATACTATATTTCGCTTTGTACCTTTTGATCATGCATTTTTTAAAGATACAATAGTTAACCTTAAAGTTCTATAATCAATAAAAACTTTAAAATTCTATAAACACTAATAAATGTCTTAAAGTTCTATAAAAATGCAAAAAGAAAACAAAAACCGACATTACGATAATTTTTCTAGTAGCATTAGTATACATCTATCAATTAAAAAAAATATATATATTTACAAAGATGCTTAAAACACACACACGGCTAATATCATTATACATTAACACTGACAATTATATACCATACGTCTCCCGTATATATTGGTGTAGATTTCCTCACTTTTTTTTCTTTCCTACCCGCTTATAATCACCAACTAATGTGTATATTCCTCCTCTGATTATTTGGCCTCAAGACTGCACTAGTTTTTTTTTTTTTTTTACTTTTTTATGTTATGAAGTTTTTTTTTCTAGTGAATAAATCTTTCTAGTCTATCAATCTTTTTCTAGTGAATCAGTAAATTTTAAGACTAATTTTAATGATTATAAGATTATCCCGGATCCACAATCTTGCTCTAAGCTATAAGCCTTAAGCAAATTGACTAACTACAGTTGATTACTCCAAGAACTTCGATTGACTATTCCAAGGACAATCGACTATAATTGACTAATTTGCTTTCAGGTTAAAACAAGTTTGTAGACAAACCCAGGGGAAGGGAGTGTCCGATATTATATAATTAATGAAATTAATAAGATACGTAATATAAAGAATACAAATACAGATACGTATATAAAGAATACATAATCGAAATCAAAATAAAAAAAAAAAGAAAAAGAATATTTTGGTTGGTCGAGCTGGTTATAGTGACAGTGCAGGGGTGCATCGTCATAAATTTATAAATATATAGCCAAAACCACACATGTTTATAAAAGTAAAAACTGAAATAATTAATTATTCGCACTTGGCGTAAACCTCTTGATATTACTTATTTTTGTAGAGAGAGAGTATAAAATTGTCTTATTTTTTAATAAAGTATTCGCGAGAGTACAATTGATCTAAATAAGTTGTTATAATAATATTTTTTAAAATATCTTTTAACTGAACTTTTGTTGTAATTTATTTTTAACGATTATTTTTTTGTAAAGACAAATAATGCTAAATAGTGACAAATAGTACACTTGGCTTCTTTTTTTACCTTTTTTTTTTTTAAAGTAATTTTGTTCTTATATCACATCTTTTTTTACAAAATAATATTAAACTGAAAATGAGTTTCTTTGTTAATAACTTTATACTTTAAAGTTGGACATTTTAAATATTAAAATGTAACATAAAAAGCAGGTTCTTTAAATTTTATTTCAGAATAATTCATTTTTATAAAAAATGTGTCTTTATCTTTCTGTCTTTGTCTTTCCGTCTCTGTTTTTATCTCTCTGTCTCTTTCTCTCCCCTTTCTCTCTATTTCTTTCTTTTTTTTTTTTTGTGAAATAAGGGAAATGCTTTATGCATACCCGTGATTCCCTGGGATGCGGGGGGTCCGCGGGTTATATGGGACTTTCCCCCTTCCGTCCACACAGGAAGGGGGCCTATCCACTAAAACCCCTGTCGGGTGCCTCCTTTGGGGCATATTGGGGAGTCGGGGGGATTGCTGTTGGCATTACTTCCACGACACCCTGCTCCGGGGAGCCAAGTTGGTCTCCCCTCCGTGCCGGATCCCCTGCATTAGATCGCGGGGGGTCCCGGCTTCCCGGGCGACATTATGTCTTGCCGCCTGGGTTTTCCTCAGTCTCCCTCTTGAATAGGGGAGCAGAGGGCACCCATCCCGCTCCCCCAAGCCAACAGAAATTTTTGGCGCGGGAGGGGTGGTCCGTTCTCCAGAACGTTCATCTCCCCGGTCTGTTTTCCCCTGTTCGGTCCTCCGCCCTTATAAGGGCGGAGGGATCCCAACTCCTCACGCGGCGGCTCCATGTTTAGAAGCCGCTGCGAGAGTTAACCCTCTCCCTGATCCGGGTCCTCCGCCCTGAAAAGGGCGGCTATGATGTGTTCAAGCATCTTTCCCGCCTCGTCCAACAGGCATATCAGCATATAGGCCAAAGGACTGCCCGCTACTCCGCCGCCCTTGGGGATAAAAACTAGCCTCGCCCTCTTCCAGGCTCGGGGGATCTATTTTTCTCTTTTTCCCCCCTCAGCTCCTTTCTTCCCCTTTCTCTGTTTCTCTCTCGCTTGGCACGCCGCCGTTTTTTTTTGTTTTGATTTCGATTATGTATTCTTTATATTACGTATCTCATTAATTTCATTAATTACATAATATCGGACACTTTAAAAATTAAATGCATTTACGTATTATTAACAATGGTCTAGTTTACATCGTGCACTTGATACGCGCATTAGGTACTATATTCGTATCAAATTTTAATACGCATATCAAATTGTAAACACTGACGGATCAACTTGGTACGAGTGTATCAAGTAAGAGTATCATACTAAATTAATACGTATATCAAATGATACAAATGACGATAAAACGAATTTTAGAGGGAATCTAGTAGCCTGGTTTACATCGGTCTGGTTTACATCGTCGATGTATAAACGTTAGTATGCGTATTAAATTTGATGCGCACCAATACTTTAACACGGATATATCGAACGTACTAAAGGAAAAATATAATACGAATTTAATTCATGTCGATTTCTTTCTAGTGGTGATATTTTGAATTGTAATTTGCTTGATATAGCTTTGTTCGACAGTCAGAATGCATAATTCTAAAATCGTTCTCGTTTCTTCTTCTCTCTAACCCTTTTTACAAGTCATTTTATTATAATATAATTTGAAAAAAAACTAACGGTTACCGATAACACCAATTTTTTGACTAAGTTTTCTTCAACATTTGTTTTATACGTTTACATCGTCATTTGTATCGTTTGATACACGTGTTAGTTTAGTACAATACTCTTATTTAGTACAATACTTTTATTATACGCTCGTACCAAATTGATCCGTCAGTATTTACATCGTGCGTATTAAATATTTAGTACGAATTTGATACGAATATAATACTTGATACGTGTATCAAGTGCACGATGTAAACCAGGCCATCGTCAAAACACGTTAGTACACGTATTAAATTTTATATGCATCAATACATTAAGGATGTATCTGAAATACAATCAGTAACAAAAATGCTTTAAATATAAAAAATTTGAATGTCTGTTTCAAACGTGTAGTACATCTAGTAATAACTGATATAGATGGTGGCTAACATATCTCTTATTTGAAAAGTTATTGTTTACTTTCTCAACAGTTTATTAGTTTTATTTGCTATTTTCCAACTTTCTATAACTTTTGGCAGGGAAAATGCCCTAATTCAACTTTAGAACATTAAATTTCGTATTTATTTAACATCAATATCCATCAGTGCAAAGGAGAAAAAGTAACTGGAATAAGTTAAAATAGGTAAATATGCATTGTCTGAACAATAACTATCAATATCATTTGTTGTTATTATAAATACTTAGTGAGAAAATTTAAACATAGCAGCAGCGCACCATGTAGTTTGTGGCTTGTACGTTAGCAGTAATGCATTGTGCAGGCAAGTTAGATGAAAAACTGAAAGCCTCAAATTTCACATTTATCCTATTGTTCATCGAAATTATTTAATTTGTATTCTTGTCCTCTGTATGAAACAATATAGACAAAACAAGATTTTAGGACGTAACTTTATTATACTGATTTATAGGTTATTCGTTTGATATTTAGCTGATTGTAACGTTGCCGCATTTCCACAGTCCAGCTACTAACTCAGCCAGAAATGATTCGTTAATCGATGTCGAAACGATGTCGAATCGACATCGAAATCAACGTCGATTCGACATCATTTCGTTCAGACAATGCATATTTACCTGTTTTAACTTATTCCAATTACTTTTTCTCCTTTGCACTGATGGATATGTTAAATAAATACGAAATTTAATGTTCTAAAGTTGAATTAGGGCATTTTCCCTGCCAAAAGTT